AAGAAACAAAACATAAGTGACTCACAAAGTCTAAAATATTGATTATCACCCTAACAGAGAATTTTGCTGTTCCTTATCCGCTTTTGAATTAGATTTGTTGACATTAGAACATAGCTCTCAGAGCCAGCTCTAGTCCTGAGTCACCTTCTTTAACAATTCAGGAAACACACTGATATACTGAGAAAGACTCCTGAAACTTCTGTTATATACAGAGTATATATGTTATGTTTTTATATATACTATACCTGTAATTTTTATATATAATTATATAATCTGGATATATAATAAAAATTATTTTTTAAACTGCCCTTTTATTTTTGCATTCTTCCTCATTTAATTTTCACAAAAATCTCAGCAATATGTTTGTGTAACTGTCTGGTCTTTACCCACAAACTCCAAAGATAAAACAAATAGACTAGCCTCTAACTTGTCCACATGGTCCATTAAAAAAAAAAAAAAAAAAAGGAAAGCAGTAACTGTCTTGTTCTTTTAAGGAACAACTAAATGAAGCATATACATATGAAATATTGGTGCACCCAAACTACAACTGGGTAAACCATTTGAAGGCAAAGTGACATCATGGTCATTAGTAAGTAATCACTCTAGACTGAGCTGGGTTTGTGTGTGTGTGGTTAGTATCGGCTTCCTATAGTGTTTCCTAATACAATTTTACTTTGATGTGTCTATCATGTTATTATCACTAGACATTTGTAGGGTTAAAAACAAAACTTGTTTATCTATGCCTCAATGAGAATTTAAGGTATAAATCATGGCCTGAGGAATTACTCCAATTATGAAATACAGACTTTTTGTCATCTATTTTTGCCTCTTCAGGGATTTGGGATTTTATTTTGAATACTTAATCTATGAAATAAGTAGTCATCACAGATTTTGCTTAAAAAAATCATTACAAAACCAAACATATTTTCATTAAACAAGGCAGAATAACCACTGATTAGGAAATTTAAAAGATAGGAGGAAAGCTTTGCACATTAAAAAACTGATGTAGGGGAGATACTGGGACAATTAATCCCACCAATATACATAATTACAAGGCACCAATAAAAAATGGAAAAAAACGAAATGAAAAGAGAACACAAATAAAATATATGGAACTAATATGAAAATATTCTATTTTACTTTTGTGTGAAATAATGAGCTCTACTTAAATTACATTTATTTTTAAAACCTTAAAAGAACAATTATCTTCAGAGGTAACTTTTATAAACTGACCTTGTAAGAAAAGTGAGACCAGACATGTAACCCAGTTAATCTAAAAGGAAATATAAGTATGAAAAGGGAGCAAATTAAAAAAAAAAATAAGTTTGGCATAGAAGCTATTGAAAATGTTCCTGGAAAAAAATACTTAAGCACTTAAAATATTGTCAAAAGGCATTAAAGTTAACTACTGCCATCTAATAAATCACTTATGTAACTTTAAGACAGGACCATGAAACCCATGTTTTTTTGGGGGAGGGAATGGGAGGTAGTGGGGATTGAACTCAGAGGCTCTTAACCACTCTCATCCCCAGTCCTTTTTAAATATTTTATTTAGAGACAGACTCTTGTTGAGTTGCTTAGGGTCTCATTGAGTTGCTGAGGTAGGCTTTGGATTTTCCTCCTGCCTTTGAAAATCCTCCTGCCTCAGCCTCCCAAACTGCTGAGATTATAGGCATGCGCCACCATGCTTGGCTCCATGTTCTTGTTCATTATTTCCAGTTTTATGCCAGTTACTCCTTTTTTAGGAATTAGGGGAATCCATGTAAGGAATGCTTATCACATTTGTGGCTTAAGTGAATTAAGAAGGAAATAGCAATTGCACTAGAGACTGAAATTTAACAAGCTGATATATAATGGGGATAAAGAGTCATATTTCCACTCTGGAATAAAAAGCAAAAGAAACACCAACTATATCACAGAACAATGGGGAGACAGAGTTCAATGGCAATGTAATGTAGTAAGAAAATTCACACAAACTGAAGCCATGGCATTGGAAAATTACCAGAATGATAAGAAAGAGAAATATACTATATTTAAAAACTTGAAGAACTGTTGATAGCCCCAAACAGAGAAGACAAATGGAAAATAGTTTTGACTCTCTGAAGGGCTGTCACACCACAAAGTTGGCTGTTTTGTGCAGCAATAAAAGCAGCAACTAGAAGGGGTGGTTAAAAGGAAATAGACTGCACGTAATGTTAAGAGGAATTTTATAACTGAGTGGAGACAGAATGGGCTGCTTGAACATAATTAGAGCTATACAAAGCAGAAACTCAAAAGACTACTCATACTTCCCAGTCACCAGGAGGTGAGAAGGTCGTGTGTCCAAGTCCATGTCATTTTCCCCAACTGCCACCCCCAAAGGCTCGCAGAAGCAGCTGCCAAGTCTCTGTAGAGCCTCTAAAGAAAACCATGAAATCAAACCCAATAACTTTACCAATTACATTTTTCTGTATCCTATCATGATTTGCCATAGGGTGGAAGAAACACCTTTTCAGTAAGTGTGAACTATAACATTTAAAAGTGATTTCATATCACACAGTACATGGCAACACTGTGCAAGAGAACTCTGTGGTGATGGAAAAGCTATCTAATAAGGTAGCTGCTAGCCACAATATTTGAAATGTGGTCAATGAGACAGAGGAACTATATTTTTTAAAATTTAAATAGCCACCTATAGTTAGTGGCTAGTGTTTTCAACAGGATAGGTAGAGGGATATTTTCACAGTATATCCTTTTAAGAATTATATTAGTTAAATGACTTAGCATTTATAAAAATAAATGATATCTGCTAGGAAAAAAGGCAATGGGTATGGATGACGGTATGAGGAGAAAAATCCTTCACAAACTGAAATTAACTTTTTAAATACTTATTTATTTTTATGTGGTGCTGAGAATAGAACCCAGGGCCTTGCACGTGCTAGGGGAGTGCTCTACTGCTGAGCCACAACCCCGGCCCCACAAACTAATATTAAACAAACATTTCTAGGCAGATTTGCATTTCTAAAAATTATTATTAAATTTTCTGTTTTTGGTTTTTTATGTTCACTTTTTTCCACTGTTTGGGTTTTACTATAATTAATAGGAATTATTTTAGTATATAACAAAAATATTTGCTTCTAAAACTAGATCTATCTCATTAGGGACAGTCCCATCTATTCGTCTTCTTTTGGCCTTCAATTTTACTTTGTAAATTCTTTCTAATCTCTGTGATGCTGAATTCTAATTTTCATTAAGAATTTTGTCTTTAGCCAAAATACTCACATGTAATTTTATCCTTTTCCTTGAATGACACTGCCTTTCAGATAGTTACCAGTTATCTTCTTTTTTTAAAAAAAAATTATTTTTTAGTTGTGGTTGGACACAATACCTTTATTTTATTTTTATGTGGTGCTGAGGAGCAAACCCAGAGCCTTGCATGTGCTAGACGAGTATTCTACTACTGAGTCGTTTTTGTTTTTTTAAAAATATTTTTTATTGTAGTTGGACACAATACCTTTATTTTACTTATTTATTTTTATGTGGTGCTGAGGATTGAACCGAGGGCCTCACACATGTTAGGCAAGTGCTCTACTGCTAAGCCACAACCCCAGGCCGGTTATCTTCTTTTGTATTAAACTATCTCTAGTTTTTTTTTTTTTGGTAGTAAAGTATTGATGTAACTGCCATTTATTTATTTTCATTTGTGTAGATTAACATGGGCAGCTCTTCTACCATACATATGGATTCTCCTTGATATGTTTCTACTTTTGTGACACTTGTTCTTCCCTTTGAACTAGTGTTTCAAGAACTGAGTGTTACATGGAGGGGAAGTAAAGAGGGAGGAGGCTTGTGTGGCATTGTTGGCTTACTCAGGCTCCTTGCTATAACTTTTGTCAGATGTCCTGAACAGGGGTACACTCCACCGAGGAAAGGATCTAATCTCTTGGATCTGTGCTCACAACTTAGCTTGAAACCCTGACATTGGCAAGCCCTAGCAAATTCTCTTGCTTCTGCTGAGATCCTGGCAGAAAATAAGTGTATTGCATGATGTTGTCTAAGGGTCCTCCTTCATTCTCTCAGTTAGGTTCGTTGTAGACTGAGAAGTGTTTTGTAAAAGTTCAGGATTTGATAAGTTTACCTTCTTTCTCTAAAAGGCTTTTGAATGGTGGGAACGGCACCAGGATTTTCTTTCCTAAACCTTCATTTTTTAAATCTATGCCTTGAAGTTATATTTAACCTTTGTGAATTTATTTTTGCTTGCTTCATCAAATACAAGATTCTGATTCAGGTTCATTTCACATTTTCATCTAGACGTCTCAGGCTATGCTTTTAAATAAGACCTCACTAAATATGCATAATATTAAAACTCTAGCTGGACATAGTGGCACATGTCTATAATCTCAGCAGCTTGGGAAGCTGAGGCAGGAGGAATGTGAATTCAAAGCCAGCTTCAGCAAAAAGTAAGGCTTAAGCAATTCAATGAGACCCTATGTCTAAATAAAATATAAAAGGGCTGGGATGTGGCTCAGTGGTTGAGTACCCCCGAGTTCAATCCCTGGTACTCAAAACAAAACAAAACAAAAACTAAGAACACTCTGGCAAAAGCAATTAGAAATCAAGCAATAGATGTGGTCAGAATATTAAAAAAGTGTCCAGAATATCAGTGAATGTTTATAACAAAACACTTAGCTCCACTATGGGACTATAACACTCATAGAGCAATTTTTCACCAAACAACAAAAAAGTAAACAACCAACCCTGATTTTTCATTTAAATTTTCAGACCCTATATTCCTTTTTTATTTTTGGTACCAGGGACTGAACCCAATGGCAATTAACCACTCAGCCACATCCCCAGCCTTTTTATTTTGAGACAGGGTCTCACTAAGTTGCTGAGGCTGGCTTTGAACTTTCTCTTGCCTCAGCCTTCCAAGCCAATGGGATTGCTGGTATATAACACCATGCCTAGTTAGACCTTACATTCTTGATTGAATATCATTAACACTATATTTTTATACTCACAGGCCAAGGCTGTAGATCATTTAGTCCCTTTTCTAATTTCTCAACATCTGGAAACTTTGTGGCTCCATCAGCATCTGCCATTAGGATCTTTTTTCCTCGAGAACTGAATACACCCTATATTTAAAAATTCCAAGTAAAATAAAGTTACTTAAAAATGATTAAATTCAATGACATTTCAATTTATTTGCTTTACTGAAATACCTAAGATTGAAATACTAGTGTAAAATGGCAGGAGGTCAAAGTTCACTGTTATTCTTGCTAACATGTTCCTTAAGGTATTTATTGCCTATTTCATTTTTAAAAACTTGTTTGGTCATTCTACTAACACACTGGAAAATATCAAGTTAGTAAAATACATTTGGATAAATAAAAAGTATTCTGCATCACTAAGAATAATAAAATATCTATCATATATATGTGGATATATACACACACACACACATACATTTATCAAATGTATTATTATATGTGTGTTATGGTGCTTAAAAAGAATCAAGGACAAATTAAAGCGGCATATAAAGATCATGTTAATGGAAAGATTGAACAAAAATAACATTTGCAGATTTGCTATGAAGTAAATCATAAGGTTATAGATCTTTAATATTCTTTATTAAGTGTAAAGCTTTTAAATTAATCACTAAATAAAGACATAGAATGTCACTAAAATTTAGAAAGTGTGCAAATACTATATATTTGGATCATATCTAAATACTATTTTATTATTTGAAGAGTGTGACATTTAGCAAAATTATGCTAATCAATTTTGAATTTTTGAATAAATCTTTTGCATAAATTATGGATATACAATTTTGTACATTTCACACAGAAATAAACTGTACATTGACTCAATTTCAATGGTGTATCCTAGTGAGTTCATTGCTTCTCAAATGTAAATATATTTGTGTTTGTGTTTTTTAGAAGGGTGGGTCCCACTATGATGCTCAGGCTAGACTTGAACTCAGGGCTCAAGTGATTACCCCACCTCAACTTCTTGAGTACCGATAACTTATAGACATAGGCAATCAAGCCTGCTTTATTCATGGTTTGTACAGTAAAATGCAGCTTTGATAATATAGTGTGACTGTAGATAAGACACATCTAAATATAGACAGAAATTTAATCATTTATTCTATGACAGAATAAACCCAGTGATTATTATCGGTGATGGCCCTTTATCAAACCCATTAAGGTTATGTGTAAAAAAGCAGAAAATAAGAAGTTATCAAAATTTAGCTTCTAAACATGTATGATGTTACAGAAAAGAAAAAGCATTATAAGATAAAATCTGGAACTTAATTTGAAATGAGAAAAACAACAACAATAAAGGACTAATCATTTAAATAACACATTATAATGGTGAATTGGAGGTTATTATTTAGCATTAATGAAGAATTGCACTCAAACTTGTGGAAGCTTCATCTTTTGTTTTTTCGTAAGGTTTCTTTAGAGCCTGCTATTATCCCATTCTACATATAGATATACATGGCCTGTGTGTCATTTCCAAACTCCTAGAAAAGGTTCTGTTTTCCTTGATTATCAGAACCAATTCTGTCTCATTTCTAACATCTCCCACTTATGCTTCCTCCTCTTCTGTTGTGTCACTATCATAACCTAAATAAATATTCATTATACCTTGACCTCAGGCTCCCAGCCTAAAGTTAATGACCTGAACCCATCTACTCTCAGGCCTTATCTCCATAGTCAAGCCTCATGTACAACTGGTAGGTTCCTTGTTGCAATCTGTCGACATTGCTGTGTTTTTGATCATGTTCCTCCTCTGCAAAGATCCCTCTTCCCTACTTCCATAAAGATAATTCCTAACCTTCCTTGAAGACTCCATTCAGAATTACCTTCTATGGGAAGTTTCTGCTGTTCCCTACTAGAGGGTGGTGTCAGCACTGAGTATATACTTCTATCAAAGCATTTATAACACTATCTGAAAACTGTTTCCCTGCAAAATTATGATATCCTTATGGACAGAATGGGCATCTTGCATCTTAGTATCTCTAATGAGGTACAATGTTGGCTAAACAAATGGACAGATTTAAAACCCATCATGATAACTGCATCAATTCTATATTATTTCTTTTTCTCTCTCTTTTTTTCGTAGTGCTGAGAATTGAACCTAGGGCCTACCTATGCTAGGAAAGTACTCCACCATTGAGCAACACCCCTAATCCCAATCCCATTTCCTTTTTCTCTCTTTGGCCTAACCTGTTACTTAGAGTGAACTTGATGATTCTAGTACATATTCTAAGAGTTCCTGCTTCGGTCTCTTCTGGCTTTGTTGACTGGCCTTCCCTTCTCAAATACAGAGGGTAAAAAGCAAGAATTTCACAGTTAACTAACCTACTCCAAATACTGATTCTAATATCTATGTGACCTTGAATTACCAATCCATGCCTCACTTTCCTCATCTATATAATCAAAACGATGGGACCTAATTTATGAGAAATTCTGAGGAGGATCACAAGTGATAATTATGTTGAGCCGGGCATGGTGGCACATGCCTGTAATTCCAGTGGCTTGGGAGGCTGAGGCAGGAGGATCGTGAGTTCAAAGCCAGCCTCAGCAATGGC